AGCCAATCACCTCCCATCCCAGGCAATCACTATTTTTATTTCTATCCCCATAGGTTAATTTTGTCTCCATTAGAATTTTCATATAAGTAGAATCATGTAAGAGGCACTTTCATGCCTGGGTTATTTTACTCAGCGTCGTATTTTTGAGATTCACCCACATGATTGCATGTATTGGTAGGTCTTCATTGCTGAGTCGTCGTATTCAATTTTATGAATGTACCAGTTGTCCATCCTTTGTCCTGTTGTTGGACATATGGGCTGTTTCCAGTTCTTAGCTCTTATGAATCAAGCTGCTATTAACATTCTTGTGCAAAGCTTTTTGTAGCATATATTTTCATTTCTCTTGGATAAATTGTGAGGATTGAATTGCTAGGTCATAGGGTAACTACATATATAACTTTTTAAGAAACTGCTAGTTTTTAAAGATGGTTGTACCATTTTACACGCTTACTGGCACTGCTGAACAGTCTACTTGCTCTGTATCTTCACCAATACAAGTGTCTTTTTCGTTTCAGCCATTCTTGGGCAGGGGGATGGGGGTGGGGTGGTGTTCAGGAAGTGGTAATTCATCGTGACTTTAATTTGCATTTCCCTGATGACTACAGATTGTCCCAATTTATGGTGGTCCAACTTCTGATGTTCAACTTATGATTTTTTTTACTTTACCATGGTGCAAAAGCAATACAAATTCAGTAGAAACTGCACTTCAAATTTTGATTTTTACCTGGACTGGCAATATACAGTAAGATACTCTGTCATGATTCTGGACAATGGCAGTGAGCCACAGCTCTGTCAGCCATGTGATCACGAGGGTAAACAACCGATACTCTACAATGTATTATGCTGTTAGCATTTTTGGATACTATAGTGTTTTGTGTTTTCTCATCCCATCATGTCTACAAAATGTCCATGTGTGTCTCCTGCTTCTAGTGAAAAGGAGAGGAAGGCAATTAATCTTCAGATGAAACTCAAGATAATTGCCCAACTGTAGTTTAATGTAAGTGTTCTGAGCATGTTTATGGTAGGCTAGGCGTAAGCTGTGACGTATGGTAGGTTAAGTGTAGTAAATGCATTTTTGGCTTACAGTATTTTCAGCTTACTATGGGTTTATTGGGATGTAATCCCATTGTAAGTCAATGAACATCTGTAATGGTGTTGACCAAGTTTTCGTTTGCTATTGGCCACTGGTATATTTCTTTATAATTTTTAAGGTTGCTTTTCTTTTTTATTATTGAATACAGTTCTTTTGTCAGCATTATGAATATTTTCTCTAAATCTGTGGCTTGTCTGTTTATTTTCTTCATGGTGGTTTGGTAAGAAAGTTTTAAATTTTGATGACATCTGATTTATCTGTTTTTTTTTTCTTAGTGTTTCTGTGTCCCATCTAAGAAATATTTGCCTACCTACAGATCACAGAGATATTCTTTCTTTATCGTTTTAACTTTTAAGCTTTACACTCTTAGCATTTATGCTTATGGCTGTGA